TGTGAAGCAAGACGGGATCCTTCACTGGTTAATATTTTAATAATACAGCATTCTTTTTATATTTCTGTGATACGGATGGAAAGTGTTCGTGCATGTTGCTTGTTTCTAATAATGGTGTTCTATTCCCTTTTAAATCTTTGTTTATGTGTGTGATGCCAGGCAGCTACTTCTCTTAGCCTGTGCCAACTTTTACTTTTTCCAATTCCCAAGGTGCTGTCCACTTGAGGAAAAAACCTAAGGGATAGTTGGTTTTTTCTAGCACCCAAAAACCTAGGGATCCAGAACTGTTCACATTCCCAAGGGCTTTATGCATTGGATTTTTAATGTATTATGTTTTAATGTTTTGTGAGCCGCCCCGAGGCTTCAGCAAATGGGGCAGCATAGAAATTTTCTCAACAAATAAATAAATTATCCCAGCCAGTATAGGATGGAATCTTCCTAAGTTAGATAGCTGAGTGAAAGCTGATGACCATCACCTGTGAGAATTGAACGTTACTCCAGAAGAGTTTTGTGCCAGAAAGTATTATGAGTATCATTTCATGCCGTCCTTCTGAATAGATAGGTATGAGACTGTAAAACAGATGTGGCAGTTTGGACAATTGATTCCTCAGAGATTCTCAGAGATGCAATCCTGCCAAATCTGTGGGGTGGTGGAATGGGGGCACGGATGAAGCACTACCACCTTTATTTACAGAGACCCTGGTGTCATCTGCAATTATTAATGAAGTTAAGTGATGTATATACAGAGTTGAAAAATCCTGTACAATTTCTGCCATGGCCACAATGGACAGAGCAGCACATTGACAATGGTTATGTTTATATCCCACCTTTTTCTTCTTACAAAGAAAATAGGCATTTCTTACGTCCTAGTTCTCACTTCTCCCCACTGCCTCAAAAGAGTTGTTTCTATTACTTCAGAACAAAAGCTGCATCATTAGTCACTGAAAATCAACGAGCAAAAAAAGCTGACATACAATTAAGTAATAAGATTAAGATATAAGAAAGAAACCAGAGGAATTTCCTGAGGATTAGGAATTAATACATCAACTAGTCAGAAGCATGATAATTCATACCAAAGGTCATTTTCAAATGGTGTTAGACTAAAGCTCTGAAAATATTTGCATAAGCAATGAATTGCTCATTGTTAAGCTTATAAAATTATTGAGTAGCATTTTCAACTATTCAGAATAGTAGGGTTGGGAGGGGCCTAGAAGCCATCAGTTCCAACCCCCTGCTAGTGCAAGGCACCAGGTTACACCAGCTTACTCAGATAGCTGTCCAGTTGTATCCTGAATGCCTCTAGTGTGGGAGAGCCCACAACCTCCCTAGATAATTGGTTCCATTCTCAGACTGCTCTAACAGTCAGGAACTTCTTCCTGATGTTCAGTCAGAATCTGGTTTCTCTAACTTGAGTCCATTATTCCATGTCCTAGACTCTGTGACAATTGAGATCACCTCCTTTCTCTTTGTGATAGCCTTTCAAGTACTTTGAAGAATGCCATCATATCGCCCCTCAGTCTTCTCTTCTCAAGGCTGAACATGCCCAGTTCTTGCTTCTCAGGGTTTTGTTTCCAGTCCCTGGATCATACTTGTTGTCCTCCTCTGAATCCTTTCCAGCTTTTCTGCATCTTTTTAAAAGTGTGGTGCCCAGAACTGGACACAGTACTTCAGATGAAGCCTAACAAGTGCTGAGTAGAGGGGAACTATTACTTCTCATGATTTGGAAGTGATACTTCTGTTCATGCAGCTCAAAAGAGCATTTGTCCTTTTTTGCAGCCACATCGTATTGTTGACTCATATTTAGCTTGTGATCTACAACAATCCAAGATCCTTCTCATTTGCAGTATTGTTCAGCCAAGTATTCCCCATCTTGTAGCTTTTTTCCCTAGATGGTATATGTCCCTATTCAGTGTCATTCTGTTCTTTTCAGCCTAATGTTCTAACCTAGATATCTCCTTGGATCTTCTTTCTGTCTTCCAGGGCATTTGCTATTCCACCAACTTCTGTGTCATCTGCAAGGTTTGCAGTCGTTCCCTGTACTTTCTTATCCAAATCATTAATAAAAATGTTGATGATACCTGGGTCCAGGACTGAACCCTGTGGTACCCCACTTGTTACATATTCCCAATTTGAAGAGGTGCTATTGATGTGCATTCACTGAGTTCAATTTTGTACCCAATTGTGGATCCACCTAATAGTTCTATCTAGCCCACTTTTTGCTAGTCTGCCAATCAGATGTCACGGGGCAAGTCATCAAAAGCTTTTGCTAAAGTCAAGATAATGTCCACAACACTCCTGCAGTCCATCTGGGAGGTCATCTAGTTAAAAAATGAAATTAGTCTGGCAGGATTTGTTCTTGAGAAATCTGTTTTGGCCTCTAGTGATCACTGCATTGTTTTTAAGGTGATTGCAAACTGCTTTTATAATCTACACCAGAATTTTTCCAGGGATTGATGTCAAACTATGGTTCCCAAGTTCATTTTTTCCCTTTCTTGGATAAAGGGACAACATTAGCCCTTCTCCAGGCATCCAGCACTTCCTGTCTTCCCTGAATTCTCATAGACAGTGGTTCTGAGAGTTCTTCTGGTAGCTCCTTTATGACTCCAGGATGGAGTTCATTGAGCCCTGGAGATCTGAACTCATTTAAACGAACTAGATTGTCCTTGACTATTTGCTTACCAATCCCGCACCTCCAGCTTGTACTTCCCCCTTTTTAGGAAGGTTGTAGAAATTTCTTTTGGGAAACTGAGCCAAAGTAGGAATTTGGCACTTGTCTTTTCTTTGTCATCTGTTATCATTTTACCATTCACACTGAATAGTTGAACTCTCCTTTTGTTTTCATCTCTTTAACTTATCTGAAGAAAGCTTATTTAAACAGGGCAGTACAACTGAACACTCAGTACCGCACTTAGAGAACTACATAAGCTATCTGTACCTATTGTGACCACCATATAACACTTGTGCAGTAAGATAAGGAAAGGAGAAATTTCACATGATCAAGATGAATTCAGTCCATCTGGGTTAAGTTTGGTGTTTCTTAAATTAGTTTCCTTCTATTGGTTGAAGTCCTGTGAATTTTTCTGCTTACCTAATGCTGGGTATATCCAAACTGCTTTGCACAATGCCAAATAGGAAAACATGTATGCAATCTGCAAGGTATTCTTCAGGTGCAAATGAATGAGATTTTAAAATGAATTTTCAAAGAAACACTTCAGATTAGCAAGACAGGATAGCCAGATTTCAAATAAAAATGTTTAGGAATTTGTCATTGCTACCCTATTTTACCAGATATGAATTCATTTATAAGAGAACTTAAGAACTCAGTTCAGTTCAGTTCCATGCCCACCGCTTTTAGAAATCTAATGTGTGAAAACCCTTTTTTTTTTTTCATCTGCTTCTATGATCACTACTAATACTTCTGGAACCTGTGAGACACTGCTGGACAGTGTAAACAAGGTGAGAACAGATTGGAGCTGTTCACACAACAGCCCACTGTTCATTATTTAACCTATTGTGACGTTGTGACTGTCATTTAAACATACAACCCTACTCCAAGGTTGTGGTGTCACCTGAACACACGTTCTAAAAAACTTTTTTATAGCTAAATGTAGCAAAGTAAGCACAGTAAATTTACAGAAAATGCTACACATTCTGTGATACTAACCAAGAGTGTTTATATTCACATTCAATTCCTATCTTACCTTTAGGAAGATTTTATCTCACATTTCTTCCAGGTAGTACAACTAAAGATATGTAGAATAATTAGGTTAAAATGAGTTGGCAAGTCTCAGTGACTCCCACCAAGTAATCAATCCAGAGGACCAATCAATCCAGAGGACTATGCTCAAAGAACTCCACCTTTCAGAGGATTAAGGGGCACTTTCTTTAATTCTACCTGGAACAGGAATGGAAGCCTAGACGCTAGATCCGAACATTTTGTCTGAGCCCAACTATACCTCCTGCAATTTCATACCAAGGTATGACAAAAGGTTTGGCCAAATGTTCCACTCCACTTGAAGAATGTGATTCTGAAATTCAATGTAGCATCTTTATGAATTTCTCTGTATCATACAAGAGAGAGATTTACACAGCTGTATGTAATGCTGCCCTGTAGGCACATGCACTTCATTTTACTGCCACTGTTCCTACATACAAAGGGATTGTGTGGTAAAATATATTTACAGATGACTATGCAAAGAATAATCTTCTAAAAATAGGAATGCAGACCATTGCTGATGTAGCTCATTTAAATGACTCATTTAAGGGCACACACGACAATGCAGGTCTTTCTCAGGACTGAACCGTTCCCAAAGAAGACAGACTTCCTTAAAATGACTGCAACTTGTAAATAAAGGTTTTGTCTATAATTATAAACCATGGCATGTGTTTTCTGAGAAAGTTCTTGCAAATAAATGTAAACCCATTTCTTGATTATATCATTTGTAGAGGAGCTCATATGGTAAACTTCCTTACAGCAAACACACAGAAAATTATACATTAAAAACTGCCATGTTAGGGAAAAAGAAAGACTAAAATCTAATATGTATTTCCTATGAGCAAGTATTTCACTGTATGGAGCAGACGTTAATCACATGTGATTCTTCCTAAAATCTCAAATGCTACAATGATCTTTTATTTCCAGAAACTAGGTCTTAGTTCCCTACATCTCTCTTACATGTTGGAAATGTTTGCATTATTATGATATACATGTATTTTTACCACATATACTACATGTATCAGTGTTTCTATACTCATACAAATTTTTTACACTCTTACTAAATATTTGTTAATCATATACTGGTGCATATCCATGTGAAAAATCATGATTCATTCCATCTAATATATTTGAAGTATTTTCCTGATTAAAGATTTGACAACAGCAGATTTCCACATGTCTCAGTAATGCTGAAATGCAGGCCTTATACTTTCATGACTTTTACTTTAGAAATTTCTGCATAATCAGTCAGGCAGCTTGGGAAATGACTTCTCAGACACATATCAGCTGTACAGAAATCTATTTAATCCTGATCACATACTATGAAAAGTTACACACTGGTGAGAACAAATTAATATTTCTCTGAAGTATTTTCCATTCCACATACCAACTGCATATTATTAACAGTGAAAATACTGCACTGTAGAATGGAGATAAAAAGCCCAAGCAATGAATGATGTCTAGCATCCTAATGCACAAAGAACTCTCACGTGCATTTACTTAAATTACTTGACAAAGGATTCTTCTCTGCAAGGAGACACCCACTGACATAACTCCAAACAGACAGAAAGCGCTTTATGAATTGATTGCTGTGGATACCAGATCCAATCTCAATTTATTTCAACACGTACAAATTTGTTTACAACTTTATACAGTTCAATATCTCACAACGGGTAATTCCAAATTAAGATTTGCCGCAAGAAGACCACTTCAAAAATTTTGGTTCAACTCCAACAACATTTAGAGCTGATTATCTGTAGCCTCTGACTCTTTAATTACCCAAATTCCTTGCATTTCAAGCTTGGCAACACTTGCAATACCACAAGGTTGGAAATTACATTATGATGGATCATCAACTGCAATACCACAAGGTTGGAAATTACATTATGATAGATCATCAACTGCAATAGCTGCCATGATGTTTTTTAAGCTGATTAAGTGGCAAATGTGTATCTGAAAATACCCTGAGTATTTCAGAAAATTCTTTGTTAAAAATGAGAACCCAAACATCAGAAGAATTCCAATTCCTATTTCATGTGTAAATTCAAACACAAACAGAAATATTCCAGCTGTCACAGACAGACAACCATAACTCATAAGTAAGCTTGCTCAATTTGGTTGTGTTCTGCACATTCTTAAACATAAAAATATAAAACAGCAGTCGTTTTAGATGCTAGATCACTTCAACTCTCTTTCTGGACCTTTTTTTTTTACTGTTGCTTTTCAAATGCAAAGATCATGTATATGCCTGGAGAAAAGACAAAAAACAAACAGATATTAGCATAATCTTAGTTCAGGTATTTTTAACAAAATCAAGTTGGTTCCAGTTCTCATTTCTTTTGTTTAATGTTTTCACAGTTAATATTATTTGACTTACAATTCTACACAGGCATAGGATTGTCTGGATTCCCATTTACTAAGTCTGTAAATCACTCCAACATTTCAGCTGGGGATCTGGGATTATTTCTCTCCCCACACAGCAGATGCAGGAAGGACTGCACTGGCTGCTTTTCTGAAGTCACAAGAGTAGAAAGAGGTCTTGGAAGCAATCTGTGGGGAGGACAGGGAGGAAAGGAGGCAGATATCCTGGCAGCACCTCAGCCTTCCTCCCTTCTCCTCCAAAGCACTCTGCTTCCTTCTACCCTGCCCAGGATATGCATAATCCTCAGTCTGGAGGGTTATCTGATTGGACAGGGTCCTTTAGCTTCTGAAATTCTGAAACAATTTCTAGTAACATGCCTGAAGTTTTCAGAAAATATTTGTATACAATATGACTGTTTCAAAAAAAATGTAAGGCACTATTTTTGAATTGTTTATGTAACCATGTATAAAGAGATTCTATTATATATTCAATGGTTTTTCAGTATTTCAAATGCATGTGCTCCCTTAAGTTGGAGAATGACTTCCATAAATAAAGTGATTTTATGTATCCTATAAGGTTCCATATTAGAAGTGATACAATACTACATGCTAATAGTTGTATCACTGGAATGTGCTAAATGTCATACAGGTCAAGACAGTGAACCAGGGAATATACTGGTACCATGTGATTATGTAATCACTACCAACTATCAAGAGATTATACCACCAAGTCACATTTCCAGTTCACATTCAAGAGAAAAAAATAACCAAAGGCTTTCCATGATTTTCACAATTTATAAACACAGTTAACTGGACAATAGGATCAGTCCTAATGCTTAGCATATAGAACCATTGGAGAACAGAACACATCAGCAAACCAAATGACTTAACTAAATAGGCTCTTTACTGCTAATACTTATTCTGGGATTACCTTTGAACTCATGTCAGCTAATTTTTATTTGTATGGCAAACGGAGCAAATAAAACCTTTGATGTGCCCATCAGTTATGCCAGAAAGAACTACAAACCCTATTTTTATTAAATCACTGGCAGATATTACAGGCCTCCAAATTATTTTACGATGAAACCCATACAGCGAACTGAAATGCATTTTCCAGTACCCAACCTGTCAGGCTAGAACAAGCCATGACTATATATGTCATACCATTACAGCCACCAACAAAAAACTGGAAAATTACTTCAAAGAGGTACAAAATACCAGCCACTAGAACTTAAACAAGAAGATAAGCACAAATAAACTGCAACTTAGGTTTGATTTAGATGTGATTAAGCTTATCGGTATCAGTGCTCCATACAGCTGCGAACCTTCAACAGGCTCAGCCTAGGTGTGCCATAATGTTATTATGCCCAGCAGTCTGTGGCTCGGGTTAATGCAACCTAACCTGCAGGTGCTACATATAGCCTTTGGAAGGAGGTGGAAGGGCAGAAACTTCCCCCATGTCCTCAATATTTTTAAATCAGTTTTCAGTTGGCTTCCACAAGTCTGCCCACAGTCTACTTATGACAAATTTCTAATTTATATAAATGATTAGGAAATCATCACCAGTTGAAATGAATCTGGCCATTCAAGAACCTAAATTGAATGAACTGGAATCCAGAGGAATCTCACTTTTTCGTATTAACTTTGCTCTTAGTGGGTTCCCTTATCAAATGTTCCTGTTGGGAAAAATCCCCATGTCTGAAAACTATGCTAGCCTGATAGCTGATGAAATGGGATAAGGGAAGAGAGAAAAGAACACCTCTAACTTGGTTTTATGGAGCAACTGCTACTTGACCTTACAGACATAAATATGAATAAATTACTCTAGTAACAAACAATGTCATAGTACATACTTGTTGCTTCCCATTCAGATTTACTCAAGGTACCCTGCAAAGAAAATATATATCGAAGTTACATAGAACAAAAATGTGTCTGATTTTGTACAAAGTGACAAACATTTGTCCTCTTGCTTTATTTTAATGCTTCAGTCACCAACGTTTCTGCCCTATGTTTTTAGATTTCAGAAAGCTAAATCATTTACCGCTGCACATCAGCATTCTCCTTGAACAAGTAATATCTGTAAATACCTTGACATTGACTGATCATAAGAAGCTTGGAAGACACATGTAACTTTAATCAGGGGTACAGTATCCACAATTGCAAAGAATTGCAAGTTTGACTATGGATATTTAAGAGATGTCATCTCTCTGGGTGAAGTAATGATAACAAGATTTTTATATTTTAAAAACTTTAAATATATTTTAAAGAAAAAATTTCCTTGAGGTATAGAAATTTTCTTATACACCAAGTACCTACCACACAGTTACTATGCTATCTTTACCCTGTATTTAAACCACTGACGTAATATAAACTTAAATTATTAGTTGTTGATCTTGTTGACTAAACCACCCGGAGAGATTCAGCTATTGGGCCACACAAAAAAGAAAAATACTACTATTAATAAGTACAGCTGAATAGCTAATGTACACACCTGAAGCTGGATTAAACCATTGGGCAAAACACCAGTTTTTTATTTATTACATTTCTAGACTGCTTAATGCCAATTAACAAGATTTAAAACTATGAAACAAAAACAAATTTAACACTAAAAAAATGGAGTATAGACAAGAGACCAGCAGTGCAAAGATCTTAAAACCCACTGATACCATTTTTTAAAAAACCTGAAGTACTAATTCACCTCTTAAAATTGGGGACAAAAAAGGGTTGTTACTTGCTTCCAAAAAACCGCAACAAGGGCATCTGGTAAGGCTCTCTAGGGAGGGCATTCCACAACTGGGGTGCCACTAATGAAAGGGCCCTTTTCTTAGTCGCTATCTGCTTCACCTCATTTGGCTAAGATACCCAGAGATGGCCCATGAAAATGACCTGAAGAGCTAGAGATGTACAGAAACAGTGAGCTAGTTGTCCACTGCAGTTGGCCAATACTACAAGGAGCAATCCTCTCTAGGATGCAACCTGAGACTTTCTGCAAGCATTAAAAAGTGTTATGCTAAATTAGTCAATTATGGCAGCCTTGAAAATACCTGCTTGCTTATATGAAGAGGCAAAGGATTCCAGGAAAGAGGAAACAGGTTTTTGCAAATTAGAGCTGGTAGGCTAATAAACCTGCCTAGGCTAATTTTTTTTAATTTATTTGGAAGGCTGTTATGTACCTTAGGTTACAAATGAAGACAAGTGTCCTTTCAGAAATGTCACCCATAATTTTTCAATTCCAGAGACTAACTACAGAGAGTGAACTATTTTCCCCTTCCTTTTAGTGCCTGGACATTTCAAAGTAGCTTTGAGTCTAATTCCTACACAAGCCAACATCATATTGCAATCTCTGCAGCTGCTCTAATTTACAGCCACACAGAGAAACTAGTAACACATTATAATGGCATAGGAGTACTTTCAAAATTCTGCAGAAACTAGATAAAAGAAAATAAAAGGTGGAGGAAACCTCTTCTGCCATTTCGACATGGACAGAGGTTAAGCATGACTATGTGAAGATCATGCACCTCTGTCCCTATGTGCTACATCATCTAACATATGCCCACCAATAAACTTTCAGAGCATGAGCCAAAGTCACATATGTAGAATACTGAGGTGGAGAAGCGAAATTCTTTGAATTCCCAGAGCCACAAGCTATGATATTTGGCCAATGGGACAGGACACTGATATACCTTCAATGCTGATGCAAGCGTTTACCGAGCCTTTCAAAGATATGACAAAAAACACCAAAACAGAAGGAAATCTGAAAAGAGAATGCATTCTCAAAGGTGCCAGAGAAAAATATTTTGTTAATGGACACAAAGAAACAAAGAGTTCTTTGTCAAGGGCAACCTAGAAACAAGCAAAACAATTTCCAAACATGTTTGCCACTCACAGTATCAGGGCTCTGAGTCTGCATTTAGTCCTTTTTGGAAGATCTAGCTTTACAATCAGAATAGAAACTCATTCAGCACATACTCACAAGAGGTAGCTTTAATTTTCCATTATTCTTAAGTATTTCTACATGTTCATAGTCTTCTTTTTTATCTGAGACTAATCCAGAATTTGAATCAGCAGGATATTTCTGAAAACACAAATGAAACAGAATTACTGGAAATAAAACCATAGGCTGGCAAATTGAAAATAAGAAAAACAAGTGGAAGCCCATATCATTGAACATTCTGACATAAGTGTTTTAAATCATCTACACACGTCAACTTTTCTTGAGCAAGAAACAGCTAGAAACCAGCAGTAAGAAATTAGATTTTTCTTCACAGCCATCATAACTGTCCTGGTAAGAGGCATATGGTATTTCAAATGCTATTCTACCCCCAACAAAATGTATTGTGCTGTTGACTCCTATGCCTTGAAATTCTATTTATCCTCCTTAAAATTTTCAGGCCACCTTTAATGGTAAAATCCCTTTAAGGCTAAGTCCTTGGTATCCCTCCTTTCTTTCAACTCAAAGCTCCCAAGCACTTTCTATTTGGCAACAACCAGACCCCAACCTGCTTAGCTTCACTTCAGACCATGCTCTAGAATCTGCCAGACGTATGCTGTCCCAAATATTTTTAGCTCAGTCTGTCCCACTGATATATAAATCGCATGTTTACATGTATACAGAGTGGTCTCAACAACACTCCTCTGTACTCATTGAGCACTTTTTATAACAGTCATGCCTTAATAGTATTGTTTATTGCTTAAGCAGTAACCCACTTACAAGTCTCAAGCCCAGAAATAGAGTGATTCTAAATTTTTATTCTAATGATAACAAAAGAAATACTCTTCCAAGTGAACATGTCTGTATGAGGTAAGTGCTACAGTGTTTTGTCTGTGCAGTGTGGGTACTGATAACGCACTCAAAGAAACACAGCAAGCCACAAACTATGTAAGTGCAAGACAAGCTGCATTTATAGATAAGAAATACATTTTAGTGATTACTGCTTTTAATCAAAAAGCAGCTGAACAACTGACAAGACTGAAAATTAAAGCAAACAGGTATTTATTTAAGGACTGACCTCCAATGCCCGCATTTGTTGTAAAAGCATTTTGTGTTCTTCATTCTTAATCTTGTCTTCATAAAATTCCAGGAAAGTCTTTTTGTAGATTAGTTTCATGCCATACTTCTTTGCCATTCTACAAGGAATATATTATATTAAAATATTAATGATTAATTAGCACAACATCACATTAATCCCCAAGCACTAGTTCTGTATCACAGTGTCACCTCGTGGTGTGAAAGGAAATTGCAGCTATTCTTCTCTGCCTCATACCACCTCTGAACATATAGCCGCTTTCATAATTATGAAAGCACATTTCTAAAAAGTTCTTCAACAATTAAAATTTCTGTTTTTTCAGTATAATGCAGAGTTTGGTGATGCATCAGAGTACAGCTATGGATATATCTGATTGTTCCTTATAACAGCACATGAAGGACCTGGAAGTCACAGTGCAGTGAAACTGTAAGCAGATGAGGGTGGAAGGAAGGTATCTGGGCCAGCACAGCAGCTTAGCCACACAGTAAAGAAAAATACCTTTGAATCTAAGCAAGACTCACCATGAGGTTTAAATTAGAGATATACAATTTACACAGTGCTGATGTCATGGAGGAAAACTGTTTTAATTGGGGGTGGATAAGAATTGTGGGAGGGGTAGAAATGAATAATAGGCAACTGTTTTTAGCATGCAAACCTACATTCACTTTATTGCTTTTCACATACCCTCCAAATGATTTGGAGTTCAACTCGCCATCTCAGGGAAAGCTGGGTAACAATATGAACACCTTGTCGTAAATATTTTATCCGAAAAGAAAATAGTTCATAATCCAAAACTGTTCCATATTGCTACCTTTTCGGGGGGGGGGGCACCAAAAATGCTATGTTTGGGGGGGATATCCCCTATGCGTTTTCTCTTCTTTCATTTTCTCTTCTTTCAGTCTATATACAGAATGAAATACATTGGCTTTAACATCCGTGCCATATACTTCCCAAATCACAAAGAAAAGGGGAATAAAAGAGAGCCAGAAGAGAAGCACAAGGCGGTATCTAAGTATCATGTATCCAGGCTCTCAAGGACCAAGCTAGATCTACCTCATGGATCTAAGCAGCCAATGGAAGGCATTTCTAGCAACCATTTTAATTAAAAAATAAAATAAAGGTTACAAGTAAGAACTTACTCTACAAGCAATGGGAAGTAGACAAGGAATTCTGGAACATTTACCACTCCATCCAAGTAAAAATCATACTGGCATCCAAACAAAGGATATTCTCCCTTTTTCGTTTGAAACTTTATTTTGTATATTTCATTCCCAAACGAGTCTGTATCTGAAGCTTCAAAGCGCTTTCTAAGGCAGCATTCAAAAAATGACAGAATTGATTAAAAAAAAAACCCGACAGAATGAAGACTATTCAAGTTTATAAGTGTTTTTATGCAACCGATGCACAACAGTATGATCTGAACACTAACCTCAATAAAGAAATCAGGCACATCAGAATAATGATACAATCCTGTCCCAGTACTTTTTAGAGCAATAAATTATCTTTCTCATCAAAAATGTGTTTCTCCAATTATTTCACCATAACCCACTTTTATTCTCACCACAGAAAATAAATGAGCACAAAAATGATTAACCAATCTTAATAGCCCACTCCTATAAATCTGGCTTTTAGTTGCATGTATGCAGTTACTGTCCTTCTACAGTTCTGATCATATTCATATCACGTTCGGCAAAATGAGAGGCTCTGCACTACATTCTCGAACAGCCACATGAATAGTCAGATCATGCCTGGTTACAACCCCACAAGATTCTACACAAGGAGGCCAGGAGAATCAATTCATAAAGCTTGAACAACCTTGGAAAAGCTGCTCTGGCACTGGTGGTAGGACAAAGCCAACCCAACATAAAGACACAAGCAATGGTCATACTTCAAGACAAAATTCTATGCACTGTAAAAGTTAATGCAGACAAATGCTTCTATATATTGCTTTGCGGCATTCAAACAGGAGAATAAGCCTACTCTGTTTTACATTCCCAGAGGTAAAAGTAGACTCTGAAAAATGGTGAAAAGGAAGATATGAGGACTGTACCAGAGAAGGTCTGTAGCCAGATGCCCAGACTCATTGGAAGCAATAGGGCAGTGAAAATTACTGCAGGATATTCAGATCCCAACTGTCTCATTTAATTATAATAACTGAAATAAACATGAATGTTATAAGGTTTAACAATGAAGTGCCTGCTTTCGTGATTGACTGCAGTTATCCACTGGTCAGAACAGCAAAAGCAGGCTCTCTCTTAGTGAATGGAACACTGAATGGAACACTGTTTTTCCTTGTATCTCATTGAGAGAGTGGTAGTTCAAGTGTTGCACTGGGGACCTTACAAATCTGGGTTCTAGTCCCCACTTGGCCATGAAGCTAACTGGGCGACTCTGAGTTGTTATTGCGAGGACAGAAGAGAACTATTCTCACACAGAACTGAGTCCCTACAAGAGGAAAAGAGGCAGAATATAAATTTAATGTTGTTGTTGTTGTTGTTGTTGCAGTAGTAGTAGTAATCATCATCATCCCTATATGTAAGAGAGCTGGGACTTAAAGGAAGAAAAAAGTTGAACATTCAAGCAGGGTGCCTGGAAATTTCCTGGATGGTTAGGAATGTATGCATTTTGTTAGAACTATCCTATCTTTGTTTTCCAGATTGTCAGGTGTCTTCTGCTATATTATTTCGTCACTGACAGAATCTTGTTTTTTACCAGAATTTTGGTCTTACTCTAATACATATTAGTACTAATGTGTACTTGGGCAAATATGTGAATTTGCATTAGTCAATATGCATTAGTAAATTGGCACAAATCCTTTCTAAAGTATTTGATCCACATGTCATGAGTAGAAAAAAACAAAAAATCAGAATGATAGAAATCCAAACTCATTAAAATCTGTTGAAAAGTTCATCCATATGATTGGTGTTCTGGATAATGTTCCTTGCTCATTTCTTAACAACAAAAATACAAGCCAGAAGCTGCAGGCAAGGTAGCTAACAAAACACTATTATCAAATGAATAATGTGGGTTAGTGGTTATTCTCCAATGTTATCACTATTACAGAATGACTCTTCTAATCAGTGCCTGACAAGCCCATGTTTGTAAATATTCTGCTTAAAGATTGTACATATTTACAAGAAGCACCCCAGTTCCCACATAATGCTTTATCCATTCACACTTACACAAGTTCATAGCTATCTGGAGTTGTGCCAATGAAATATCCTCCAGGGCAAAGTTGTTCACAAGCATTTTTAAGCATCATATCAGCTTGCTCATATGTCTCAAATGAATAATGATACACAAATTGACAACTGCAAATGTCAAAGTACATCTTTTCATCCTTGTACCTTTTAGACAGAAGTTCCTTATAAAAATATAAGAGAACATTTACATGAGATATCACAGAACAATGATTTGCAGCAAGATGAGAAGCTCAAACATTTTGATTATCCATCTGCTCTTTCCATTTTCCCACCTGAATATAAGCTATTGTAGCCCTTACACTCTACCATCTCTAAGACCCATTGTTCCATTGAGAAATAAATGCAAGTAAAGGTATATTTGCTTTTAAAAAGACATGTTTTAGAAGCAGCTATTTTCAGACACTACTTTTGTTAATAGCATATAGTATATATAAGTAAAGTTAGTCTTAACTCACTATGAACTTCTGAAAAAGTCATCCCATCTCAGAAGGAATATGTCTTCAAAATAGACATTTTGAAATCTTTACCTTTCTCACACCCATAGATTTAGAAGCCTCTTCCTGACAGATTTAAGCCAGGATCTTTATTTTTTTTTTTTTTATGGATAGCTTCTACAAAAGCATTATCTTTTGAATATCTCACTGGATTATATTTTATACTTAAGGTTCCCCTACACCACCAAATTACGCAACACCACAAAATAAAATGTTTTTAATTAAGCAGCTCCTTAGGGTGGGGAAAAAACACATTTGTAGCATTTTGTTTTATGCATGTTATAAAAATATTGGTATTTCCCAACCAGGACTTCCTCTCACAACAGCACTAGTCAGCATGGCCAATTCACAGGAATGCAGGGAGTGGTAGCCCAGAACATCTGGCAGGACACAGGCCAGAGAAAGTTGTCTTATAACAATTAATGTGCACACACATCACAAGTGATTACCCAAAAAGAAAGAACGCACGCACACATGGTGGGACTATACCTTGGTACTGTCAGCAGCTATAAATTCTACACCAAAAATTTGTTCATTTTGATGGCCACGGTATCTCATTTCTTGGTACCGTTGTTCACACTGTTGTAGGGAAATTTCAGCAATATCTATTTTTTAAAAAAAAATCATAGTAAAAAGACAACTTCAGAAAGCTATAACTGTCATATACCAGCGTGCATAAACTGGAAACATATACTGCAACGTTGCATTATGTCTACTCAGACATAAGCTGCATTAAAATCAATGGGACCTAATCACAGGTAAGTAGATATAAGCCACATGCAGCCTAGCAGCACAATTCTGTGAATAAGCATTTATAAATAAGTGCTTTTATGTTCAGCAGATAACTGTGTACACGGCAGTAGTGTACTGGCATATTTTATCAGGAGCTGCCTCTTTTCAGTATGTAACTCCTTTGCTGAGGAAACTGCATTATTTCCACCACTGAGGAAATGGCATTATTTAATACTGGGCCAAGTTTAAGGTTTTGTTCTTATTGCATAGAACCCTAAAACAACTGGAGACAAGGATACTCCAAAGAGCATCAGACAGTCCTGGTAGTGCCAAATGGACCTATGATACAGCTGGAATCCAACCAGAGCAGGCCTTCAGTGTGATAGCTCCTGTCAGTGAAATTCCTTATTTCTGGAGGTGAGACAGGAACCAACACTGTGTTGTTTTCAGCACCTTGATTAGCCAGCCATGGATTTGACATAATTCTAAAAACTTAATATGGTGCTTTATTCCTTTCATATTTTATCTTTCATTAACCCAGAACCTGTTAGATGTGAAACAGTATATAAACAGTGTGAATAAACATTTGACAACTATTTAGCATACAGTGCTTTGCAAAACTTCTCACATACATCTTTGACTTTTGCAAATGTTGTTGTATTACAACCTAAAATTAAAATGGATTGTTACTTTGTTACTGCTGGGTGTATACAAGTTACTCAACAGGGTGAAGTTGCAAAATATTTCTACTTAGACTCAAAAGTAAACAAAAATAACCTGTCACTTATTGACTGCACAAGCATTCACTCCTTGAGTCAAGTAGAAGTCAGCAGAAGCACCTTTAGCAGCAATTCCAGCTGTGATTACACTTGTGTAAGTCATGCTATATTTTAGTCAACCCTCTATTTGGGGTTTTGCTATTTTTAAAAAAACATCCATTTCAAAAGATGGAAATTAGATCGCTAGCAAAAGTATTAGGAATATTCCCTTCTATTTCACTATAATTTAACCAAAACCATGAAAATTAAATATAAAATCCAGAGCAGTTACCAGTCAGCGATATCACCATGGCATCTAAATAGAAACTATTACACCAGAAACCGTCCCATCTCCCACATAAAATTCATTTGTTGTCTTACCTGTGCACACAAGCTTACTGATTCTGCCTTTTCTCCATTTCAGTAAGTCTCCACCTTTGCCACATCCCAAGTCTAAAACATTAATGTTTTGCTTTCTCTGCCGTACCTTGCAAAGGAATTCACCTGGAAAAGATAAGAAACACCATGCTTAGATATAGGCACCATCTTGGTAATTCTTAGCATTTTACACAGGTAATTTAAATATCAAAATATTGTACTCCATTTAAAAAGAGAAGAGACTTTTACTTGCATTTAACCAGTAAAAGACTTTCAAAGTTACATTTTATGCTTTCCCACTCAGATGATCTGAGCAATACTAAAATTCCAATCCTGTGGTTGCCTACCTGTTTAATAGGACTTTTTGCTAGATACATGCATAAAGAATTTCAGCAAAGTCAAATATGGTAAACAACATGAGACATTTTCTAGCACATATGTTAAATGTTGGGCAATTTACTTATTACTACTATATGCCCAGTGTTCTCATTATTATTATTATTTTTATTTGAATAAGCAAGTATCTTTTCCATCTTAGGAAGAAAAGATTATAAACCATAATGGTATTAGCATTCATAGCTTTAATCACCCATTTTCCAACCATTATGCTAGAACCCTGACAAGATATATTCTTTGAATTAATCTTATTAACAGTAACTGCAATGTACTGAGCCAAAATGTGAATTATAGTCACTTGACTTTAGTTATTAAATATTTAGGTTCAGGAATCCAGTATGAGATCTGCCCACCCCAGAAAACTGCATCAATTGACACACTTTTACTTTCATACAAAGCTATGAACATCTGAATATATGAGCACATCCTAAACTTTAAAATAAATAGTCATACCAATGAGCACACTTTTGATCCAGTTGTTAAAATTTCGGAGATGGAAAATGCGACTCAGACTACGTTGTTTCAATCCAACTTCTTCAAGCTTATTATAATGTGCTGCTACAGCTTCAGTATGCTACTCAGAAGTATCAAATGAAAGAGTAATAATGAAATATTAGGCTTCATATACAGTCAGTTCATACAGGATATATCATCTGGGAATCCAAAAGATTAGCAAGGAATTACTTCACTATCCTCACACCTCTAACTTCTCATTCCGCAATTGCGGCAGCATCTGCACAGTAAAGAATCATACTATGGCAGATGAATGTCGAGCAGCATCTTGAATGTCTTTAGCATGAGAGAGCCCACCACCTCCCTAGGTAATTGGTTCTATTGTCGCACTGCTCTAATAGTCAGGAAGTTTTTCCTGATGTTCAATCAGAATTTGGCTTGCCATAACTTGAGTCCTGCGATGATTGAGAAGAGATCCTGGCCCTCCTCCATGTGACAACTTTTCACATACTGAATGCTATCTCCTCTCGATTGTCTCTTCTCAAGGTTAAACATGTCCAGTTCTTTCCATCTTTCTTATGGAGTGTTGTTTCCAGTATTTTAATAATCTGTTGCCCTCCTCTGAACCTTTTCCAGTTTGTCTGCATCTTTCTTAAACTGTACTGCCCAAAACTGGATACCTTTTCAAGATGAGGCCTAACCTATGCTTAATAAAAGGAAACCAGTACTTTATGTTATTATGAAGTGATACTTCTATTAAGGCAGCCTTAACTGGTAATTTTGTTTTGCAGCTACTGATCACATTGTTGACTCATATACAGTTTCGGATCTTCAATTTCAAGATCCATCTTTCTTGTGATATTTTTAAGCCATCTTGTAATGATGCATTTGGTTTCTTCTTCCTTGCTGTAGAATTTGGCATTGTCTATTGAATTTCATTCTGTTGTTTTCAGCCCAATACCCTAACCTATCAGGATCACTTTCAATTTTGTTTCTGTCTTGTCAGGTATTAGTTGCCCCACCCAATTTATGTAAATTTGAAATTTAAAAATGACTGTTGGCTTACAGAGTATCTGACCATGATATCAAAATTTTCAGCAACACCTCCTGGTCAGTGAAGAATCTTACTTGGTATGACCATAGGGAAGAGTCCAGAATTCTCAAGTAATGCTAATCCATGGTTTAGTGCTATACACATAAGAAAAAAATCCACCCAAAGTCCTGGGTTGTTTTGCTGGCTTGTTTAACAAACTAGATTATTCTAAAACACATTCCAGGACCACATGTAAAAACAAATCAGGAATTTGTTGAAGTGAAATGACATTCTGGCTTGTACAGAAAGATAGGAGAAAGAATGGGGAGCACACAGACTCTTTTCTGTTACATTATATTATGGTTTGGCATTATGTGTGAATGTAATTAGTTCAGACAGTGGTAACAAGTATAAAAATAACATGCTATGTGCTATTTTTCCTACTTTATAAGTAGGAGGCAAGACCTCATAAACATAACCACATGCTTCCTTTAGTACTTCATGCATATTTCTCAAGAGTTTCAAAATATAGTATAGGTACTATATACTTAGCAAAGGTAAAGGTAAAGGTTTCCCCTTGATGTTACGTCCAGTCATGCCTGACTCTAGGGGGCGGTGCTCATCTCAGTTTCCTAGCCGAGGGAGCCAGCATTTGTCCGCGGACAGTCTCCGTGGTCATGTAGCTGGCATGACTAAACACCGAGGTGCACGGAACACTGTTACCTGCCCACCGAAGTGGTACCTTTTTATCTACTTGCATTTGCCTGCTTTCGGACTGCAAGGTTGGCAGGAGCTGGGACGGAGAAACAGGAACTCACCCTGTTGTGCAGATTCAAACCGGCGGCCTTTCGATCTACCAGCCCAGCAGCAGAGCAGTTTAAACCGCTGTGCCACCTGCAGTCCCATATACTTAGTAGAGCTCAATAAATAAAGAGTTTGAAAAATAGAGCTCAATAATCAAATCCAAGCTGTTGCTGAAATACTCACTGCTGTCTTTTCAGAATCAGCTTTTCTCCTTTTCTGTTGTTAAGATCAGTGATCTCTCCTTTTTCAGTTGTATCATAATATTCTTTATTTGCTTTATCAACTAGAATAGGCTTTATCTCAGAGTCTGGAAAAGGTCCTCTGTTTGCTTCCTCAACCAAATTCTTTCCATCCTCTAGAATCCTAGCCTGGAAAGTGTCAGGTAAGGATGTAAAAAAATCCAAATAACCATGGTTCAGCCAAGAAGCTAGATTAATTCACTGTGTCTCAGTCCACAACTCATGTTACAAGGTTCTGTAAAACCTTTGTACAATTTGTACTGCACTGAACAGTTTCCTCCTCCCCATTTCATTTGACAAAGTTCCCGTGTGATTAACTTAGCATTTGATCCAAGTTGGTCATTCCATGAATAGAAACATCAGCGTACAACCCCAAGTTCTCCCATGGAAAGGGGAGGAGGGGGGTTGGAAGACAATGTTTGGTAATTCTACTGTTACCCAATATCATTTTATTGGTCAAATCAATTTTTCAGGAGACAAAGGGGACTGCAGGGAGAAGGAAGGATTGCAAGAGTTGTCTCCCTGCCCCTTTCTTATAGCACAAGCTCAAGTCTAAGTGCTACTGTAGATCCAATTCATTGTCATGTTTTTTTTAAACTAATATATTATTTTAAAGACCAGGTGCTGGGTTTCATTTTTTTCAGCTACAAAGCTATTTATGAAAGAAACAAAAGCAAGAAGAGACTGACAGGAAGCCAAAAGCCCACTGAAATAAAAATACTTCAGAATGTGACAAAAGAGGAAATATGGACCTCCTGGAACAGGAAGTTCCACATCATGGATTCTAAAGCCAACGAAGTCCAATTCTCCTTGTTCCAACTAACTACTTCTCTAATAGGCAGCTACTTGTCTACCTAAGGGTAAGCATACTAATTAGTTGACCAGTCAAATATTGCTTGCTGACTGCATGTTATTTGATTGTCGTCAAATGAAGCTGATGATGCTTGGAAAACTGGTTTTTAAAACTGATTAGCTTTTCAGATACAGTTTAACTTTCACTTTATTTTTTTTTCTTTCATTTTTACCACTGAGGGCCTATCCTGGTGCTTCAGGATAAAAGCCAAAGGGAGGAACCAATGCCCTAAAGAACCATTCATTAACTTTACATAATATTGCCGTAAGTTATAATGCATTACATACCTTAAAAAGTTAATGTTCACAACATTGCAGTTCTACCTAGCGTAAGTATCATGCATGCTGCTTAGCCTTGTTCAAATAATGCTTATGTTTTAATATTGTGAGATTATTAATGTTTGATTGGTCAATTGGTCAAAAATGTTTTCACTGGTCCAATATTTAATCCCAAAGATGCCTCTTTAATTTATAGGCATATACCTGGCAGTCATATAATCAAGCAGAGCAAAGCATCATACAATCCATATGCACTCGTGTATCTACCTGCAGGATTATATATTCAAAGTAAAATTACCAAGTAAGTGTAATGGTGATAATTCATGCTATAAGTTACATTTCAGCAAGCAAAGGAAAAAGAATCTAAAGAAATATGAATCCTTCAAGAATCCAAACCATCCTTTGATAATTTTTTAAATATATTACTGTATGGAAGTATTTACAAGGCACACACCATTCCTAACTACAATGTTAACATTGATTATATAAACAAAATCTCATAGTCACCATTTTCTTCTCTGGAATTCCAGTTTCAGGCTCACAAATCTTCCTTTTTCTTCTGTTATCATGAGCAGTCCCAACTCCCATTTGACCTTCATCACAATATGTTTTACCTGAAGCTTTATCATCATTTCCAGTGACAGAGGAATCAGCTTTTAAGTGTTCAGAAGTTGTAATATCAGCTTCTTCATCTTTTCTTTTTATCTTTCCACTCTCCAGTATCTCTGCCATGTTAGCTAGTGATCTTCTTTTCTTAAACAACTACAAACAGAAATGCTCCGTTACTGTTTTTCCCCAAAGGAAGACTTCAGGCAAAAACCTCAATTGTACTAAATACTATATTAACATTATAAAGTTGGTGTTGACATTGAACCAGTTAACACATAAAGACAAAACATTACAGATTAACCCAAAATTTGCTAGCATTGCATGCTACCACAATGTTAAATATGCAACCACTGATCATCCCAATCATAAGTTGTTCCATGATGTGCAAGCCTTGGCACTATAGTTTAATAATGGATTAAACAACCCACAGTTAACCTACAATTAATTGCTACATTAACTCTGGGCTGTTTAACTCACCATTATTCCAATGTCCAGAATCACACATCATGAAGCAATCTCCAACTGGACAGATCAGAGATTGTGTATTCAAAATGGTAATGGCACACACCATGGCAAATAAATTAATTAACCAATGATCTGCTGCCATTACATACAAATAAGGCCACTGTCTCACTTGTATGTTCATGCTATATTTGAGGCTGGTTTTTTTCAATCTATGAATTGGATCATAGTCAACCTAACTTGATTTTGAGGCAGTATGAAAAATTGCCATGGTGTTTCATAAGAACCCACCCTTTGCAATTGGAACTAGCAGTTGTGACAGCACCACCAGAAACTCCTTTCCAGAGTAATTCAGTGCAGCTTCTTTTTGCAATCTACTAACTACTCCATTCTGAAAATGCACTCCTAACTGTACTGGTGAATAACTGTATTTATTTATTTTATTTATTTATAGCATTTTTATGCCGCCCCCATTGCAGAAAGCCTTGGAGCGGCTTACAAAAAAAGATAAACAACGTATTAATAAGACCCAAGCAGCCACCTTTAAATACCAACTTTTATCTCAAAGCTTATCAAGACATTATTTTAAATATTACCCTACCTATTCAAAGAGACCCAAGGCAACATATTTAAAAATCAATATGAGCATATTAAAATAATTAATGATAAATCCTAGTTAAAAACAAAAAAAAATTTCAACAGTATTAAGAATCTTCACAGTTCTTGTACTCCTGCAAAGCTTGTTCTGAAAGCCCCATGTATGCAGCCACCTCCATCTTGTTCCTCAATGATCCCATTTTAACTACTATCGTAGCAGATCTCATCCGCTGAATTAGGAGTCAAGAACATGAAGCGAAGCATTAACTAATCCTATGCATACTTACTTAGAAAACTGGCTATGCCCAAGGAGAGTTACACCCTGCGAATAGCGCTGAGGACTCTCCGAGCTTCTTAGCCAAACAGGATGAACATCCACTAATCGCTCTGACTCGAGGCCTGCTAACGAGCACCTTCAGAAGCTGTTCCTGCCCGCTGGAAAACCGCAGCTCCCTTCCTTCCTCACCCGCTACTTCAGCATCGTGAGAAGAGCCGGGCTCTCGGCTGCTTTCCCTTCCCAGCCTTCTGCCCCTGCGTTGGCCCCACCGTATGTCCGCCCCCCGCCCCCGCCGTGCGCATTCAACAACGCGCTCCAGTGCCTCTCAGGCACTACCTCAGACGGGAGCCAAGGCAAGTGGCTCGCTGTTATCGCAGCGGCCACAATTCCGCCTCTCCGCGTAAAAACCGCTCCTTTTCAAGGCCTCGGCGGGGCCGGGGGTGGCGGAGATGCTGCTTGGAAAGCCCGGAGAGCCGATATGCAGGCCCAACCCCGCGCCGAGAGACGCGCGCCCAGTCCGCCCAGCGATGCTGCCCCTAACCTGGCAGCGCTACGCCCTTGGCGATCCAGGCAGAGTCCACCTCCACAGCCGCCGGAGTTCAGTTTTCACCGCCCCGCGCTCAGGAAGTGGGCGCCTCAAAGCAGCGTTTTGCCTCCAGGTCACCACCGCCACTTCCTCTTCCTCTGAAAGGTCAAACGAAGCAGGCGGGCGGAGGGTGGACTTACGTGCCGAGCGTGTCTGCCTTCCCCGGACCTAGCAAGAGATGCGGCCGGCCAGGAAGCGGAAGAAAGGACTACAAGTCCCAGGGGAGCCTTGCGGTGAGCATGCGCACAGCCTAGGCGCATGAGGTGGGAAAGAGGATGGGCTAGCAAATGGCACGTTGTTCGTGTAAGGGCCAGGCAAGGGAATGAGAATCGGGCCTAGAGCGCTCCGTGGTCGTGCTGCTCCTGTGAGGAATGTCTTCCAAAGGTTGTTATCATTATTGCTGCGATTGCCCCTTGTAGTGCACGTAGGGGGCGGGGGCCGTTCGTCATCCTGCTGCTTTTAACTCTTCCTGTGCCTTGGCCCCGTATCCTTTGCGGAGGGATTGCTCAGCGTCCTTGCCAAGCCCTGGAAGGCTTTCCTGAAAGTGCCTCTGAGTGGGAAGGCGTAGGGAGGGGAGGCGATGCTGCTCGGCTGGCTGAGTGAAACCGTGCTTGGTGTCGCCAGACCTGCTGGGTGTAGCTCTAGCAATCCTAACAGGTAACCAGTAGCAAACTAACATTTAAATTTGTTGATCTGGGGGTATTTCTTACATGAAAGGGTCGCAACGGATTGCGGGAGCTGTCTTAAACCAGGGTCCACTCACTGAACGGCACGTGTGAATGGTTTGCTGGACACGTGCTCCCCCGGGCATGTGCTCCAACTAAAGATCCTGAAAATTTGCTTAGGGTTCTTGTGCCCGCTCTTTGTCTGCCCAAGTGCAATTGGTAGGCTTTTGCTCCAAGAATCAGATGTGCTTGTTCATTTGTTACCGGACATTTGTTTTTCCTCGATTGTAGCATAGCACAGGGAGCAAAGTACTTCCAGTATGACTTGATGCCCATAAAGATATTGGCACTAACCTAACAGCAAAACAAAAAGAATTCTGGGAGCAAGCCTTTGAATTGCGTGATCTTGCGGGGAGGGATTGGCCAGAGGTTAAGCAAGAACAAACAAATCTGAAATGGAAAAACAATCTGGATTGTATTATATACTTCCAAGTTCAAAATGATGGCATTCTGTCTGATGTTCTCTAGACATCTCTGTGGTTTGTATGGTAATAGTTATTCATGTCATCTAATACTTAATATTCTTTTATGTATTGTTGTGGCCATTTCAGGAATGAATGTTTATTAGTGAACTAATTCTAAATACTTGTGACAATTGTTGTTTCATACCATATTAACCATCTATATTTGTCAGTCTCTGGCTGTGCCAACTCATGTCACCCAAAGACTGACCTTGACTATGTAGAATCTGAAATGTAAAGTATAAAAGAACTTCACACCCTAGAAGTGGCCTTACCACTGACAGTTAAAAGTGATGCTTGGTTAGTCTTGTTTTTCTAGACACTGTACACTAAAATATACTAAATAGTATAATGCAGTGGGTGGAAAAGCTTCAGCCTGCAAGGTGTCCTCAGCTGTTCTTTAGAAGCCTTTCCTAAGCTTTTCCTTCTCGAAGCCCTCTGCGCATGGCACAATACTACATGCCACAGGCAACACTACACTAAGATGCCTTGGGTGGTTCCCAAGGATCCCACGCATCCCTAACCATTCCTACTGGGAAAGGCAATAGATTCATGGAGCCTACCCTGGGAACCTCCCCTTTGACCTAGCTGAAGCGCCTAGGAGTGGTGGTTTCTGCAGGAGGGAGCAGTCCTGGTAGGCTCAGTGCACCTGTGTGTGGAATTGTATTTACAACCTACTTTTTTCTTCTTCTTGTGAAGAACCCAAAGTGGTTTACATAGTCCATTGTTATCTTCACAGCAACAAATGTGTTAGGTAGGGAAAGGTGAGACTGAGAATAGGAGACTGGCCCAACTCACCCAGTGAGCTTCATGGCCAAGGAGGGACTGAAACTCAGAACTCTCGGGTGCCAGGTCCAGTACTCTAATGACCACACCGCACTGTAGCTATGTGAACTGAGTATGGAGTTTTCCCTGATCTCTGCTGTGATACAGCCTCTACTTCTAAGGTGGGAATGTAGTACAACAACAAAATCTCTAGTCTATCTTCTGACCTTCAATGGTATAAACATTATCATTCCTGCTGCGCAACACTATGAATACTTACACAGTTTAAGTGTTGGATGCCTTCAACAGTGCAGGTTATCCTGGGAGGTAACCATCATCCCATTCCCCTCTTGCTCTTAATGGTTAGCTGGGCAGTTCTATGCCAGTTAGCTGCAACCATGTGGAAGAACACTAGGCTGGATACTTTGCCTACTTGGGACACTTAATGCAGGCTGGTCAACAGTATGCTCAACTCAGTAATGTTTTCCTTTATTGATGCTTGCCTGCAAATTGCTTTCTTTTGAAAGATGTCTTAACTTTTATATAGGTTTTGCTCTATCTGGAACCCGAAGAATCTTTATATTGGAATAATGTCTGGTCTAGTATATTTGTGACCTTCACTGGTACATCAGAAGTTCAACAACTTGATCGTGAATGTGATCCAGTAACATAATAAATCTTCAATGGCATTGTCCTGTGGCAATTTTTCAGTTCCAAGAGTGCTGTAAATAGGTAGGTATCTCAAAACTGATACTGTTTTACTGTTGTCAAAGTGTTGCTATAGCTTTGACTTAAGTTATACCATCTGATGTTGCCAGTGACATGTTATTCTGTAAGAGTGTAAAAAATGTATTGTCTGTCAACTGAACGCCTTAGTGGTGTTTCCTTTTACAATTAAACATGTTTTATTGGAGTAGCTACAATTCCCAAGCATTTCTGCATGCCTAGTTTTCTGTTGCAAACATAACATCAGTTTTGTTTGGTTATGTTGCTCTTCACGCCTTATCCAAGTTCCCGAACTCTGTCATCTTTTTTGAGGCTGGATGATTGGAAACTACACTTGCTGAAAGTATTTTCCTATTTTTAGTAAGGCTAGAATGTGGTTCATTATGGCCTAACTTCCCTTGCTTGATAAAATGGTAGAGGTAGATATAGTTAATCAAAGAAACTAGAAGTTGCTACCATTTGTTATGTTTACTTATCTTTGCTTCCAGACAGGCTGGAAGAAATGGAATATAAGATTGGAGGCAGAGGCTGCAGGCTTTTGACATACCCTTACTGGTTAATTACGATTCTCTAGTCGTAATGTGGGAAATATACAATAGAGGGCAGACTGTAACTTCAAATCGGTCTATTTAGTTTACTGTAAGGACACGAGAGAATGCTACTATGGAATGAGTTTTAAGCCAATACACTGTGATTAATAGTTTTTATGTATTTTATATAAGGACTGGACTTTTTTAGACCTGCATGCATGCATATACAAACTTCTGAAAATTGAGAAGCCTTCCAGAATGGCTTCTCATGAAGTCTAATGAATGCATTTCACAGTTGGTGCTTACATGTAGGGATTTATATGTTGGGTTCTTTAGTTCTCAAAGCAGAAAAAGCTCAGTATTAAGTAGGACATTGCTGCTGCTACCATAGGTACACATGCTGTACATGTAGGTCTCTATAGGGAATGAACATCAGAAAGTATGGTGATTATGATCACTGAAATTAATCTGACTGCTGGTCCCTTACAATTATATCAAATCATGCAGGTAATCAGATCTGTGAGACATTAAATTATTGGGCAGTGGAGATGGATTTGGCTTTACACCACACCTGCAAATTAACCTGTTGCTTGAGATCAGTTAAAATTGTTGTCAGACAATCAGATAGGAATATTAAAGCATAAGAAGAGGCCTATTGGATCAGTAGTCCAGCATTTTGTTAATACAATGGCCAACCATGGTAAAAATACAAGCAAGAATATAGTGCAACGGTACCTTTCTACCCATGTTTTCCAGCAACTGGTGTACATAGGTATATTGTTTCTCATACTAGATGTAGCATTTAATCATTAGGACTAATAGTCATTGATATGGATACCCTTACCCTCCAATCCCATTTTAAAGCCATCCAAATTCATGACCATCACTAATGCTTGCAGAAATTTAACTACATGCTGTGTGAGGTACTTTTACCTTTCCCAAATCTCCCACCAATCAGCTTCATGGGATGATCCCTGGTTTTAGAATTATGAGAAGTTTTATAATTCAGAGGTTTACAGAAATATGTGGAATATATTTATACATATTTGTTTATATGAGGAGAAGGGACGAGTCTGTTGTCCTGATCACCTCACCCAATTGTTAAACTTGTATGGGTGCTTAACTCATTTGTATGCTGACACTTTGTCCATGAGGCTGGAAAACTTAAGTTACTGGAGCTTCTCATGCTCAGAGGGCTGACTCGGTCGTAAGCCTGACTCCTTTATATGTTTCTGGCTTATTTGACCCAACTGCTGCTGCAGGCAAACTGAATAAAGGGCTTCACATGAAAAGTAAAGGAGGCTGTAGCAGTAAATATAGGTCAGTTGAGTGGAAATGGCTCAATAAAAAATGTTCTATGCAGGAAGGAGAACAATAGTAAAAAAAGATTTACTATTTAGGGTTGCAGATAGTCAGTGGGTCATTGGAGGAGACATCAGGCAAAAGGTAGCTGATTTCGGAAGGGATGCAGTTCAGGCTTTCCTGGAAATACAAAGGGCTGAAGCTGGTTTTATGATTTAATAAGAGATATGGTTTGCAAGGAATGAGTCCTTCTATATGGGTTTTTTTTAAATGGTAAATGGAACTCTCAGTCATAGCAGTCTATTTCTGAGCTGTTTCATAAGGCCTAAAACTGATCTTACACTGAGCCCATATGTTTGTTGATAAGTATTCTCTTCCACTTGCTAGACTTGCACAGTGCTTCCATCAGATGTTCCTTATACTGCAATAAAGACGAAGTAGCAAGGGTGAAGTGTTTTCTTTTTATAAGCCTTGGCTTTTTTTATCAAGTTCTAAAAAGGAAACCTCAGTTGGAAAACATTAAACCCTTCTTTTGCCTTATCTTAAAGGAAAGACTGCATTCATGCCAAAAAAAACTTACTAGAATTTGCTTCCCCCCACCCCGCATTTCGGAACATGGTTCTCTTTTGTAGGTTATGAATAACTGCATGAACAGGGAGTAGTTTTTGCCCTGCTTTAACAGAAGGTGTAAACATTGCTCCTTAGTTCTAGTCAGGTTGCTTTTCTTTTTGTCATTGATGGAGAAAAAGAATTCCAGTTGAGGAGAGACAGATAATCCGATATACAGAATGTAGAGTGTTATTATGTAGAATGGACAGCTCTATTGAGCTGAGAAAGGCCCACTCATTTTCTAAAATATATATATGGATTTAAGGTGCATAAATAAGTCTCCATTCAGCTGTTAAACAGTCTACTAATGAAGCTAACGTTGTATATCATAGAATGAGTGGGACAGCCTAATTACTAGCTGTATTACCTTAAATCATTGGCTGGATTCCACAAACTCACTGCCTCTTCACTAGTAGCAAGCACCTCTGTGCTTCCAGCCATAGCCCTGCCAACAGGAAACTACTTATTCATCTCAAGAGAAAATATAGTTATCTTCTATATGTTGACTTTTTGCAACTTTTCCAGTTTCCTACAAAAACATCTCATGGGAAGGGAGAAGGAACTGTCCCTCTTCTGTGAAGGAAAGAAAAGGTATTGCTTTCATTCAGGAAGCAATAGTGATGTGCAGCTGGTACCACTTCTAAAATCCAGTTTTAGGAAAAGGGAGGTGGCATTTATTTTATAAACTGGACCTTTAGAGATGGCATCATACTATAGTACTTTCTTTTGTGGAAAAACCCAGAGGAAGAGAAATAAATGGAGGAATAAAGATTAGTTCTCCTTTCCATTTGGTTTCTGCACCAGCATGGCATCGCTCATGATTTTTCCTAAAGCCAAACTTGCAAAAGAGGAAGAAACTTCTATTTTCTCTTCTATTTTTTCCTCCTTTTGGAATTTTGTAAGAGGAAGTATTTACAAGATACTGCTTCCACCTTCTGTTTGTTATAAGGCAAGTCTCTTTTCCCTAGGTCATTTGTTCACAACTCAGGAGAGGATAGGTTGGTTACAACAGTAAATGACGATTTTGGCTAATAAGCCAGGCTAAGATTTTTACAACACTGACCACCAGAAAGTTGTTCAAGTCAGAATCAACAGTTTAAACTTCCCTAAGCACTAATGCTTGAAGCGTATGTCGAGTACTAGTATTATATCCTGTCTGTGTTCAGAAGATGCGGTTTCATATTTTTCTATATTTAATTACACTGCTGGGCTTTCCTGATTAGACAAAAAAGTCACATTGCTAGAATGTCTCCAAGTTTGCAAAAAGGAGCTTTCCAAAACTTGTTTTTCAAGTATGTTTATCATATCTTGCAATCATGGTATCTGGAACAATTTTTACTTATTCTTAACAGTTTATTGTTAACGTTTCTTAGGAGCTGTGTTCAAGAGTTTCTTCAGTATGCTATTGCCATCAATCAAAATGCAGACAAAAATTCAGCTGGCCTATAAGACATGCTTGATACTGAATCGCACCTGTATCTTTCCATACTTAAAAGGACAGCCTTCCTTACCTGCAACTAAACAGAAGACGATTTCTCTAGCTCTGCGTTTCCCACACCAGTGTCTACATGCATCTGCTGCTGCTTGTGTTTCCAAGAAAGGAGAATTTTTGGACAAGGCATCATCCCAGCCAGAAGATCCTCACAATAAAGAACTAAAGAGAGAGATTTCTCTTACATCAGGAAGTAACACAGAACAGAGAGGCCATCGAGAACCAAATTCCATAGAGCTTGATCCCTTACAAGACAAATCAATTAGTCTTGTGCAGAGATTCAAGAAAACGTTTAAACAGTATGGCAAAGTTCTAATTCCAGTGCATCTTTTGACTTCCAGCATATGGTTTGGCACCTTTTACTATGCAGCTTTAAAGTAAGTGCTGAATTCACAATCATTGTTTTACTAGCTTCAAGCAAATATTAACAGGAACACTTCTACAATATGGTGTTTATTAAATACAGTGGTACCTTGGCTCATGAACTTAATCCGTTCCAGGACTCTGGTCATGACCCAAATTGGTCGTGAGCCAAGTTAAATTTCCCCATAAGGTTCAGTGTAAATAAGGTTAATCCATTCTGTAACCATTTTTGAAATCAGAAAAATGTGAAGCAAAGTGACAACAACAAAGATCGCGGCCATCCCCCCCACCCCAAGCACAGCCATTTCCCTGCCCCCCCAGCACGACCGAGATTGCACCTGTCATCCCTGCACCTGCCTATCATCCCTGCAGGTGTCCACCAGCACTGGGGGCTAGGGAGGGAGAAATGGGTGTGATCGTGGGCACATTGGGGGAGGGAGAGATGGGCGCAAACGATGTGCTGGGGGATGTGCTTTCCTGTAGTAGCGCGCCTCTGATCACGCATGCCTTCCTTGCATGAACGGAACTGCGATCGTGGCCATCTCCCTGCTTGGGAGATGTTCCCAATCCAAGTCAAAAGCGGTGTTCGCGACCCAAGTCAAAATTTTTCAGTAATTTTTGTTCGTGACCCGATTTGTTCGTGAACCAAGGCATTCGTGAGCTGATGTACCACTGTATTAAGAAATGTATATGTGTTGCATGGACTCAGCCAGGCAATAAAGGGTTGCAGGGAAGACACAGCCCTGCCTAGTGCTTCCTTCAGAACAATGAAACTTGTTAACTGCAAGTTATCTAACATTCTCACTGGGGACAATGCATATTGCCTGAACTAAGATGAACTACCACAGAGTATATATTAAGGGCTCTGTAATCTTAAGGAGCGACCGTCATTTCACCCATTGAAATCCTGAATCCAAGGACCATAATGACATCACATAATTAAGGAGGGAGCTTTAGAAATCTTTAGGATAGTTCCTGAGAAAAGATACCAGATATGGCTTTCTAAATACTCTAAGGACAGCATTAATCATGTCACAACTCTGCTTCCACAATAGATAAAATAAAAGATTTTCAAAAGGAAATACAATGAAAATAAGAAAGTTGATAAGGTTCGAGATATGAGAGATTGAGCAGCATATATACAACTACTTAACTGTGTAAGGGAATCTTTCCATAAATCAGAGTGAGCTCTAAGTGGTTTTACTCAAAAAGATTCTCTACTGACATAAAGGAAATTTCACTTTCAATTTATTTATGTAATAGAAATATTTGTTAGAGCATTTTATTGTAGTTTCTATATTTTAATCTCTATTTCAATGTTAGCTTTATTTCAAAAGACTTTTTGGAACATTCTTTTTGTATTGTATAATATGTAAAGATAATGAAGATGGAATAAATAGCATAGACTGACATATTTAAGGAAAGATCTGTTGGAACTGAAAAGAGGACATACAGAGAATGCTCTAATTTTGCTCAATGTTCACATTGCACAGTTTGAGTTATTTATGAATATTTCCATTCTAATCAAAAGATCTCAGTATTAGGATAATATGGAGATATAATCTATTTTCTGTAGTCTAATCTCTTTGCCACTCAGTAGTAAATCAAGCACTTTATAATAATAATTTAAAATGAAACTTTTCTGTAGCAAGCTTTGTCTGTATGCCTCCATAATCTGTATTATGTTCCAGAGGATGCTTTAGAATCACCAAGGGCACATTCCTGTGCATGCTTAGATTAACAAAGGTTGTATAATTCCCAGAATTCACCAGCCAAGCATGTGGTTAGACAACCCTGGACATTTGCAGGCCTTTTTTCTATCTTAGACATACCTAGGATTCTGCCCTTTACAGCATTAATGCCATTATTTGCAACCCCCATGCCCATCTAGCAAGGAATAGGCCCCCTGGGACTCAGTAGAGCTTATTTTTCAGTAAGCCAGAATTGAGCTGTAAATTATGCTAAAGAATTTTCTCAAACACATATGTAAAATAGGTTTACATGTTTATATCTTGTATAAGAATATAAATGATGGTAGTAAATGTTAGGATTCTCATTTCTAAATTTAATTACTTAGAATACCTTGCATATTTATCAAGTTGCATCATCAAGAACCATGCTTTTCAAAAGTCAAAACATTAATTTATCTGATTTATTTCTAGTTCAGTATGAAAGATCCTTCATGGATCACTGCCTTGTTGTGGCAAATGGGCCTGTGTAGCTCAATGAAGCTATGAGCTATGCCGTGCAGGGTCACCCAAGACAGACAGTCATAGCAGAGAGCTCTGACAAAACGTGATCCACTGGAGAAGGAAATGGCAACCCACTCCAGCATCTTTGCCATGAAAACCCCATGGACAGTACCAAAAGGCAAAACGATATGACTCCGGAAGATGTGCCCCTCAGGTCGGAAGGTGTCCAGTATGCTACTGGGGAAGAGTGGAGTGCTAGTACTAGTAGCACCAGAAAGAATGAAGTGACTGGGTCAAAGCCGAAAGGACACTCAGTTGCAGATGTATCTGGTGGTGAAAGGAAAGTCCGATGCTGCAAAGATCTATACTCCATAGGAACCTGGAATGTAAGATCCATGGATCAAGGTAAGCTGGATGTGGTCAAACGAGATGGCAAGACTGAACATCGACATCTTAGAAATCAGCGAACTAAAATGGACAGGAATGGGTGAATTTAATTCAGATGACCATCAGGTATACTACTGCGGGCAAGAATCCCTCAGAAGAAATGGAGTAGCTTTCATAGTCAATAAAAGAGTAGGAAAAGCAGTACTGGGATACAATCTCCAAAATGACAGAATGATCTCAGTTCGAATCCAAGGCAAACCGTTCAACATCACAGTAGTGCAAGTCTATGCCCCAACCACTGGCGCTGAAGAGGCTGAAGTTGACCAGTTCTATGAAGACCTACAATACCTTCTAGAATTAACACCCAAAAATGATGTCCTTATCATCCTGGGGGATTGGAATGCTAAAGTAGGAAGCTAAAAGATAACCGGAATAACAGGCAAGTTTGGCCTTGGAGTACAAAATGAAGCAGGGCACAGGCTGGTAGAATTTTGTCAAGAGAATACGATGGTCATAGCAAAGACTCTTTTCCAGCAACCCAAGAAATGACTCTACACATGGACATCACCAGACGGTCAACACAGAAATCAGATTGACTATGTGCTCTGCAGCCAAAGATGGAGAAGCTCTATACAGTCAGTAAAAACTAGACCAGGAGCTGACTGTGGCTCAGATCATGAGCTTCTAGTTGCAAAATTTAGGCTTAAACTGAAGAAAGTAGGGAAAAGTACTAGGCCACTCAGGTATGATCTAAATCATATCCCTGATGAATATACAGTAGAGGTGACAAATAGATTTAAGGAATTAGATCTGATAGACAGAGTGCTTGAAGAACTCTGGATGGAGGTTTGCAACATTGTACAAGAGGTAGCAACTAAAACCATCCCAAAGAAAAAGAAATGCAAGAAAGCAAAATGGCTGTCTGAGGAAGCTTTACAAATAGCTGAGGAAAGAAGAGAAGCAAAAGGCAAGGGAGAAAGAGAAAGATACACCCAATTGAATGTAGAATTCCAGAGAATAGCTAGAAGAGATAAGAATGCCTTCTTAAATGAAAAGTGCAAAGAAATAGAAGAAAACAATAGAATAGGGAGGACCAGAGATCGCTTCAAGAAAATTGGAGATATGAAGGGAACATTTCATGCAAAGATGGGCATGATAAAGGACCAAAATGGCAGGGACCTAACAGAGGCAGAAGAGATTAAGAAGAGGTGGCAAGATTACACAGAGGAACTGTACAAGAAAGAGCTTAACATCCCTGATAACCACAATGAGGTGGTCACTGACCTCGAGCCAGACATCCTGGAATGTGAAGTCAAATGGGCCTTAGGAAGTCTGAGCAACAACAAAGCTAGTGGAGGTGACAGCATTCCAGCTGAGCTATTCAAAATCTTAAAAGACGATGCAGTAGAAGTGCTACACTCAATATGCCAGCAAATTTGGAAAATTCAACAGTGGCTACAGGATTGGAAAAGGCCAGTTTACATTCTGATCCCAAAGAAGGGCAATGCCAAAGAATGTTCAAACTACCGCACCATTGCACTCATTTCACATGCTAGCAAAGTTAAGCTCAAAATCCTACAAGCTAGGCTACAGCAGTATGTGGACCCAGAACTACCAGAAGTACAGGCAGGATTTCGAAGTGGGAGAGGAACAGAGATCAGATTGCCAACATACACTGGATCATGGAGAAAGCTAGGGAGTTCCAGAAAAACATCTGCTTCATTGACTATGCTAAAGCCTTTGATTGTGTGGATCACAACGAATTGTAGCAAGTTCTTAAAGAGATGGGAATACCAGACGATCTTCTTTGTCTCTTGAGAAACATATATGCGGGTCAAGAAGCAACAGTGAGAACTGGACACGGAACCACTGATTGGTTCAAAATTGAGAAAGGAGTTCGGCAAGGCTGTATACTGTCACCCTGCCTATTTACCTTATATGCAGAGCACATCATGAGAAAGGCGGGGCTAGATGAATCACCAGTTGGAATTAAGATTGCTGGGAGAAATATC